TCCAATACCGGAAGACTGGCCATATAAAGAGGCACGTGAATTATTCAAAAACCCGGATGTAAAGGATCCAAATGAAATAGAGGTAATTAAAATAAACTAATTTGATTAATTTAAAACAGTCTAATTTTTTTCTTGTGAAAGATCTCACTTTATTAATGATGCATTTGTTTATAAATATTTAAAGATTAAATGGGAAACTCCTAATGTTGAGGGTCTTGTTGAATTTTTGGTAGTACGAAAAGGTTTTGGGTAGATATCAATAAAATTATATATTTATTATATACATACATACATACATACATACATACATTGTTTAAAATAAAAATTAAAATCAATAGTGAAGAACGTGTTCGTAAAGGTGCAGACAAATTAGTAAAAAGTTTTAAAACTAAAAGTCAAGGAAGGTTGGATAGTTTTTTTACACCATGTCCTAATCAAAATCCTTCCGCTAAACACAAGGTAATAAATCATTTGTTTTTTTTTGGGGAGAATATTTTTTGTATTAATTTATAATCTCTAATTTATAATTATAGATTGGAGATGACAAAACTGATGCTAAATCAAAGAAATCAAAAACATCTACTAACAAAAGTGGAGGTCGTGGTAGACCTAAAAAGTAAGAGGCGAGTGAATTGTTAATATTAACATTATTAACTTTATTAAATAAACAAATAATTTGTAAATTTATTATGTGTATGTGTTTAAAACAACAAAATAAAGATCTATTATATAATAAAATAATATTAATATTATTCATTATTTTCTTTATTTGAATAATATCCTTTTTTTTAAACCAATAAATAAATAAATAGATAGATATTATACTACTTTGAAAATTGTGTACTAGTACTATCGGTATTATTTAGTGGTGCATAACCATTAGGATTAGTTTCTCTGTTTGAATAATCATATCCATAATCTTCAGTATTGTTATTATAATCATTAATTTTTTCATTGGAAATAATAGGAATCACAGTGTCATTATTTTTGTCGTTATTGGTGGGTGTTAATGAAATAGTTGTTGGGGTTTCTTTTTTAGGATCTTTACTGTACAAGTAAGTGGAAATCAAAACAAACGTTGAACCGACCAAAAACGTGGAAGTGACAATGAAATCGAATAAATAGACAGATGCCAGGAATGATAAAATTATAGAGATCGAGGTCGCAAATCCTTTGAGAATGTTATCTGCATATTTCACCACTATTGCTACTATTATTCCACCAATTGCTTGACATGCTATAGCGCCCACAACAGTTATATTATAACCATAAAAGAACCCTTTTTCCCATACGCCATCACCATCTTTCCACCAAACTCCAAGTATCAACGCGGGGAATAACGAAAAAAATGATAGTTGCACATTACGTACCCAAATTGAAACTGGCGCCTTTGAATTTTTATTTTTCAACACTTTTTCAAAGTATACTCCTGCTATACCTGAAATTACACACGCAACTGCCACCGCGATCAATCCCAAAATTCTTTCAACTATCGCATCTTCATCTTCCTTGGACGCCGAATCACTATCATCTCTGAATTGTACCAACGCAACTCCAAACGTTAACAAAAACAAAGAAAACCATTTAACCCCGTTTAGTGAAGTACCCAACATTATCACTGAACATAATGCTGTGGTCAAAATTTTTAATTGGTATGTGACTTGGAAGGTTGCCGCGTCTAATAAACTGACAGCAATGTATTGCAAATTGTTTTGGATAGTGTATAAGATTGCTGGTATTGACAATTTCCAAGCGTCAGGTGCAAACACCTCGTTATACAACTCTTTGACACTCCATTTGCCCTTTTCTTGAATTTGATTGTTCAACGCCATGTAAGAACATATGATAAGTTTTGATAGTTCTGATAAGAATACAGCTGTCGACGTGAAATATAGTGTTGACTTGTCTTCGTTAAGTCTGGAATATCTCATCACAATAACCAATGCACTATTCTGAATACACAGAGTTATTAAACTAACATATTTTAAAGGTATACCAAACATTTTTTCTTCTGGTGCTTTAGACATTCTCGTTTATTCGTTATTATTATTATTATATTAATTGGTTTATTTTTTATAAAATTTTTGGAATTAAATATTAACTAAATATTATATAAAAAACAAAAGGTCGAAAACCTTATAACTTATAATAGGTATATAAAATGAAAAAATTTTGTAAGTTGTTACACGCATTTTTCTTTAATTAGAAATTAGCGGTTAAATATGACGAGACCCTACCCTCTCCCTCCCCCTCCCAATATATGTTACATATTATTTTTTATAAAGTTTAAAACTGGTCGAATGCACATTTTATAAATA